CCAGCCGCTACATCGTGCTGCACGCCCACCGCGTGCACGTCCAGGCCGTCCAGGTCGCCGAGGACAAGCTCTCCGGCGCCGTGCGCGTCTCCAGCTTCTTCCTCTACCCGCAGAACCAAGTCTTCGTGGTGGTCCTCAACCGGAGCCTGGAGGCGCAGCGAAGTTACAACCTCAAGATCATCTACAGCGCCCTGATCGAGAACGAGCTGCTGGGCTTCTTCCGCAGCTCCTATGTGCTCCACGGGGAGAGAAGGTACGGCCCCCTCCCGCCCTGCTTCCCCCCCATCACCGGCCTCTGCTTCTATTCAGGACAGCCCTTTGGGCGCCCCGAGCCTGGCGACACAAGCCCTGTTATCCTCAGTCTCACAGCATGCTACCCCCCGTGCTGTGACCCATGAGGTGCGGCTACAGGTGTCAGCTCCTCTCCCCTTAGCCTCAGTCTCTTATTTCTAAACATGATTCTACCCCTCCCCACAGTCTCTAGGACTCTCACCCTTAATCCAGCCCCCCTAGCGGGGCCAGGAGTTTGCTGAGAACTCCTCTTTGAAAGCACCGGGAGTGTTAGGTTTCATGATCAAGGTGGTGCCAAATGACAGTTCTCTTCTGCAAGCGCTGCTGCGGGAATGAAATGCATCCGTCGTCAGCTCCCCCCTCGTCCTTTGTCCTCCAGTAACCCGTCAGTGGCAGGAGCAGGATCCCCGAGGTGAGAGCTAGTAACCAAAACGTGACAGAAAAATCGTTACTAAACTTTCCACTTAAGAGGCGGGAGCTCGGCTGAGCTCTAGGACTTTGTACGATACAGCTGAGCTCAGAGTCACGTTCTCAAGGGGATAGGGCTCTTTTCATGCTGTAGATCTTGCCACTGACTTTTTCAGCCTTTAGATGCTTTGATTAAGAGATGCAGTTGAGAGAACCTCTGCTGTGACGTGACCATCATCTAGAGCCCTGAGCAGGGATTCATTTTAATCCTATATCTGACTTTCATGCTGGGGTCCCTGCACCCTGTAGCCTGCTGATTGCCTGTAAGGCGAAGTGAGTGACTAATTACCATATCACAGCCCTTTGCATGTTTCTGTTAGGAAGTAAGGCTCGTTATATTTCCAGGGAGCTGACTTAGAGTAAATTCCCATTGAGTCACTAGCAGTTGTGGCCAAGTAAGGGTTGCAAGCTCAAGCATTTTGTATTACAGCTGTTCAGGTCTCCCCCTGCCCTATTTTGTGAGATGACCTCTTGCATATCATTTGTTCAGCAACTCCTAGGGTCTGGTGATGAGAGATGCTGACTATTTGCAGCCCCTGTGGAAGTACCAGTTACCATTGTTTCACCTTACCTCCCCCAGTGACATCCATGGGAGATGAAGGTACTCATAATCAGTGCTCTCATTTTAAAATTAAGGAAAGGAATAGCTAGGACAATCAGCAAAGGGATGACAGAGGAAATGCAAAAACAAGAAAAATACTTTTTTTATAGATTTCCTAAAGTAAAGCATCACTGAGAAGCTTCCAAGGGAAGTTACACTGATTCAGCCAGTGTATATTCTGGGAAAGCATGTAAGTTTTATCATTCAGAGAGATTTCCAAAGCAGTTTTATCTTAATAAAATGCAGGCTAGGTACTTAATAGTACCCGCTTGACAAGAGTGAACTACTTACTGGATACACTTTCATGTTAGTTTAATCACGTTGTAAAGTGTCTGCATTCTTATAGCTAAACACACTACTAGGTATAGCATAGATGATTAACATGCATCTTTATATAGTTATTCCTTTATTATGAATATAACAACTGTGCATCACATCCAACACATCAGAAGTGTTTTAGCATGGCTAATGATTGGACAAGTTGAAAGAATAACCGTTCAATTCTGTCATAAAGTAGAACATAATAGAAAGCTCATCTGTAGAAAATGGAATTTATTAAACAGACCTTTTAGTACCACATTAAAATGTTTTGTATTTAAAAAATAGCATATTGTACATTACAATGGGACTTTTGATGTTTGTGCTTTTGTTACATATGTGATTGCACTTTATTCAGAAACCTTGAATCAATCTTTTAGGGCCTGATTAATCTGTCACTTTATTCCATTAACTTCAGGTGAGTTGCTGCATACTAGGTCCTAGTCTCTGCTTAAAAATTTAACTGACATAGCTAAGTCTGTTAGGGGTGTGAAAAATTCTAAGGGCACGTCTTCACTCGCCATGTTGGAGGTTGACCTTCTGGCATGCAATTTTTTAACGGGTCTAGTTAAGACCCGTAAATTGAACACTGAGGGCAGCACTGGCCAGTGCCTGTACTCCTCGCGATTGTGAGGACCAAGGGAAGCTGACAGGAGTGTTTTGCTCCTGTCGGCCTCCCACTGTGGGGATGCTGCCAAGGTCGGCTTAAGGTTAGCCGACTATAGCTATGTATTCTGTGTAGCTGGAGTTGCGTACCTTAAACCAACTTTCCAGGTTTAGTGTAGACCTGGCCTAGAGATGTAACTATGTTGACCTAACCTCCAGTGTATGCAACTAGGTCCATAGAAGAATGCTTCCATCAGCCTAGGTATCTGTTACTTAGGCAGGTGGTGTTCTTATACCAATGGAAAAACCACATCTGTCATCATAGGCTTTGTCTACATTGAGGGGATTAAACTGGCATATGCTCATGGCTCTATAGAAATGGCTTCCCACCAATATTATTGAGAATAGAATGAGTCCTTTATTCACTGTTTACACATAACAATAGATGTTATTTTATAATAATTATTATGATTTTAATATTAATATTACTATAGTGCCTAGTATTCCTGGGCTTTGATTAGGATCTGGTTGTGGTTGGTTGTGTTTTGTATTGCTACAAAAACAATAAAAAGAGGAGCCTTACCCCCAAAGTTCTTATAATCTTAGTCAGAGGTTTTCAAACTCTGTGTCGCGGCTTGTAAGGACATGCTGCTAGCTGGCCACAAGATGCTTTGTTTACCTGTGCCTCCATTGGTACGGGTGATCATAGCACCCATTGGCTGTGGATTGCCGTTCCTGGCCAATGGGAGCTGTGCGAAGCAGTGTCCTGGTCCACAGCACTTCCCATAGCCCGCATTGGCCAGGAATGACAATCTGCAGCCAACAGGAGCTGCGATCGACTGAACCTGCAGAGGCGCAGGAAAACAAAGCGTCTTATGGCCAGCTAGTAATTTGTCCTTACAAGCTGTGACAGAGTTTGAAAACCCCTGATCTAAGTAATAAAGAAAGGGCACTGATTTCCTTCCTGATAGTTATGTTACTGGGGCTCTCAGAATTCATTTAATTTTAAGATATCTGCCATTGAAAATCCTAGTTACAGATTCTTTTTCTTTAAACATAATCATTTTTTGACATTGCCTGCTGAGAAAAGAATTCACGAGGAATAGCAGGCTAAACAAGAGAAAGAACACCTCCAATGCAACTATGTCAACATCCCCATTATTAAAACATTTTTTTTTTGCTGATGACTTTAAATGGACTGACTGACTGTTAAAATCCCAGGTTACTATCATAACTGTGTGATTTTTTTTGGGGGGGGGGGGTCAAATTAAAGTAAAATGGCATTTTGCCTGAGCGCAGTTATAGAAAAGGATGCTGCCTCTTATATGATTGAGGACTATGGGTGAAGTAATAAAATGTTGAAAAGGAATTTACTTTTCTTCATGAATGAATGAAAAAGACAAAGTTTACATAATTACCACACTGAACATTTTAGCTTTGTTGAAAATAGTTGAAGGAAACTTAAATATATAATATGTTATTTCAAAAGAATAATTGTAGCACTGTTATACTTTTGCACCAAAATGATCCAGTATCTAGTCTAATGCTTGTTAGAAACAAGACAGTTTAGAACACACAATTATATAATAGATAGTACTCTACTTTCATAGCATGATTATTCAGATAATGAATCACTCTCTACTGTAAATACAATTCATTGACCCAATTATATTGGGCCAGATTCTCAGCTTGTGTAAAGTTGTGCGATGCCACTGAAGTCAGTAGAAGCATGCCTGTTTATAGTAGTGTAGGACCCTGATAATTTGTTTGCCATAATAGAATATGCACTTTGTTATAGTTTCAGGTGTGTTTAATAGAAGTGCTGCTTTCCTTTTTGAAAGGTCACAAGCTTAATGAGTCACTGGAATAGAGAAAAAAATACACACTCTAAACAATGGGGTATCTTTGTTCAGAATGTTCCTGCAAAGTAGTAATCTGCATTTGATTAATAACCTTCTTTTCAAATGAGGTATGTATGGATGTTTCATAAATCTGAAACTTAGACCAATTTCTACTTTAGTATATTACTTCTCTTAAGTTCTGTGGAATCTTGATGGTCCAGTAGACTTTCACTGTAACTTTTTGACAATTTTATATTTGATCGAAAAATGCAGCAACATCATTGGTTTAGTGGTTGCTGTAAAAGGACTGTAGCATAATTTTTTACTTGTGATGTACATAAGAGCTCTGCTTAACTGTGTGACTTCACAAATGCAACAGGGATTTTGTAGATGGTTTTACCTTCCTCCCCTTGCGTAAAGGAGGAAGTCAGTACACTTACCTTTCGACTTCACAGATGAAAGCAGTAAATCAGTCAGAAGTGTTGGCAGTACTATGAAAATCTTAACTTTCTCACTGAAGTTATTGTACTTTTAATAAAATGCTAACATGGAAGTGAAATGACACAATATATTTTTTGTATCATTCACTATAATTTGTTGGCAGTATCCACCAGACATTAATGCATATTATCTGCAGAATGTTATAATAACTGAGGTGATTATTTAACTTCTGCATATAAATGGAATTAAATCAATTCCTTGCCACTTCCAGACAAAACAAACACATTGATTCCTCTTTCTTATAGCAGCCAAGATGTCAAAACAGACAAGTTGTTGAGGAAACGCATGCCTTTCTTTAATAGATGAGATGGAATTAAAATACCTGCAAATTACTGTCATGGGTATTCTGAATAGAAAAGCTGTGAGGCTTTCATTCCTGGAAGTATAACTTTTCATGGTGATATATCTGGGAAATTTAAGATAAAAACTGGCAGTGCCCAAGGAAGATATGCAGAGAGATAAGTGGTAAAATGCCAAGTTACTCTGTGATAGTTGTATGCTACAGAACTTCTGCAAGTTTATGCCATTTCTCTGTTCTTTAGGACATTGTCTTATATACATACTCAGTTTAACTGTCAGGGATCAGAAGAAATTTCAACTGTTTTTTTTTCTAGTATAAAATAGGTGTCCAGATACCATGGTGATGGGCACATTTTAAGTGCATGTATAAATATAATTGTTTATTATTATTGGTAAAGTTTTGCATATTTTCAGTATTGTATTGAATATAATGAAATATATAGTAATGCATATTTTCCATTTAAAAAGCACATGATACAGAATTCTTCAGTAGTTTTTATAAGATTAAGAAAATAAGGATGTATTTTCTATATCCTTAAATCTCACTGATGCTCTCTTAATATTTTTAGATCCTGGTTTGTTGAAACAGTGTTTCCTCTTTCAGACATTGTCACAGTGAATATAGAATTCCCTGACCATGCATTTACCTGTGGCTCTGACCTCATTAAGGCGCCGTGCGCGTCTCCAGCTTCTTCCTCTACCCGCAGAACCAAGTCTTCGTGGTGGTCCTCAACCGGAGCCTGGAGGCGCAGCGAAGTTACAACCTCAAGATCATCTACAGCGCCCTGATCGAGAACGAGCTGCTGGGCTTCTTCCGCAGCTCCTATGTGCTCCACGGGGAGAGAAGGTACGGCCCCCTCCCGCCCTGCTTCCCCCCCATCACCGGCCTCTGCTTCTATTCAGGACAGCCCTTTGGGCGCCCCGAGCCTGGCGACACAAGCCCTGTTATCCTCAGTCTCACAGCATGCTACCCCCCGTGCTGTGACCCATGAGGTGCGGCTACAGGTGTCAGCTCCTCTCCCCTTAGCCTCAGTCTCTTATTTCTAAACATGATTCTACCCCTCCCCACAGTCTCTAGGACTCTCACCCTTAATCCAGCCCCCCTAGCGGGGCCAGGAGTTTGCTGAGAACTCCTCTTTGAAAGCACCGGGAGTGTTAGGTTTCATGATCAAGGTGGTGCCAAATGACAGTTCTCTTCTGCAAGCGCTGCTGCGGGAATGAAATGCATCCGTCGTCAGCTCCCCCCTCGTCCTTTGTCCTCCAGTAACCCGTCAGTGGCAGGAGCAGGATCCCCGAGGTGAGAGCTAGTAACCAAAACGTGACAGAAAAATCGTTACTAAACTTTCCACTTAAGAGGCGGGAGCTCGGCTGAGCTCTAGGACTTTGTACGATACAGCTGAGCTCAGAGTCACGTTCTCAAGGGGATAGGGCTCTTTTCATGCTGTAGATCTTGCCACTGACTTTTTCAGCCTTTAGATGCTTTGATTAAGAGATGCAGTTGAGAGAACCTCTGCTGTGACGTGACCATCATCTAGAGCCCTGAGCAGGGATTCATTTTAATCCTATATCTGACTTTCATGCTGGGGTCCCTGCACCCTGTAGCCTGCTGATTGCCTGTAAGGCGAAGTGAGTGACTAATTACCATATCACAGCCCTTTGCATGTTTCTGTTAGGAAGTAAGGCTCGTTATATTTCCAGGGAGCTGACTTAGAGTAAATTCCCATTGAGTCACTAGCAGTTGTGGCCAAGTAAGGGTTGCAAGCTCAAGCATTTTGTATTACAGCTGTTCAGGTCTCCCCCTGCCCTATTTTGTGAGATGACCTCTTGCATATCATTTGTTCAGCAACTCCTAGGGTCTGGTGATGAGAGATGCTGACTATTTGCAGCCCCTGTGGAAGTACCAGTTACCATTGTTTCACCTTACCTCCCCCAGTGACATCCATGGGAGATGAAGGTACTCATAATCAGTGCTCTCATTTTAAAATTAAGGAAAGGAATAGCTAGGACAATCAGCAAAGGGATGACAGAGGAAATGCAAAAACAAGAAAAATACTTTTTTTATAGATTTCCTAAAGTAAAGCATCACTGAGAAGCTTCCAAGGGAAGTTACACTGATTCAGCCAGTGTATATTCTGGGAAAGCATGTAAGTTTTATCATTCAGAGAGATTTCCAAAGCAGTTTTATCTTAATAAAATGCAGGCTAGGTACTTAATAGTACCCGCTTGACAAGAGTGAACTACTTACTGGATACACTTTCATGTTAGTTTAATCACGTTGTAAAGTGTCTGCATTCTTATAGCTAAACACACTACTAGGTATAGCATAGATGATTAACATGCATCTTTATATAGTTATTCCTTTATTATGAATATAACAACTGTGCATCACATCCAACACATCAGAAGTGTTTTAGCATGGCTAATGATTGGACAAGTTGAAAGAATAACCGTTCAATTCTGTCATAAAGTAGAACATAATAGAAAGCTCATCTGTAGAAAATGGAATTTATTAAACAGACCTTTTAGTACCACATTAAAATGTTTTGTATTTAAAAAATAGCATATTGTACATTACAATGGGACTTTTGATGTTTGTGCTTTTGTTACATATGTGATTGCACTTTATTCAGAAACCTTGAATCAATCTTTTAGGGCCTGATTAATCTGTCACTTTATTCCATTAACTTCAGGTGAGTTGCTGCATACTAGGTCCTAGTCTCTGCTTAAAAATTTAACTGACATAGCTAAGTCTGTTAGGGGTGTGAAAAATTCTAAGGGCACGTCTTCACTCGCCATGTTGGAGGTTGACCTTCTGGCATGCAATTTTTTAACGGGTCTAGTTAAGACCCGTAAATTGAACACTGAGGGCAGCACTGGCCAGTGCCTGTACTCCTCGCGATTGTGAGGACCAAGGGAAGCTGACAGGAGTGTTTTGCTCCTGTCGGCCTCCCACTGTGGGGATGCTGCCAAGGTCGGCTTAAGGTTAGCCGACTATAGCTATGTATTCTGTGTAGCTGGAGTTGCGTACCTTAAACCAACTTTCCAGGTTTAGTGTAGACCTGGCCTAGAGATGTAACTATGTTGACCTAACCTCCAGTGTATGCAACTAGGTCCATAGAAGAATGCTTCCATCAGCCTAGGTATCTGTTACTTAGGCAGGTGGTGTTCTTATACCAATGGAAAAACCACATCTGTCATCATAGGCTTTGTCTACATTGAGGGGATTAAACTGGCATATGCTCATGGCTCTATAGAAATGGCTTCCCACCAATATTATTGAGAATAGAATGAGTCCTTTATTCACTGTTTACACATAACAATAGATGTTATTTTATAATAATTATTATGATTTTAATATTAATATTACTATAGTGCCTAGTATTCCTGGGCTTTGATTAGGATCTGGTTGTGGTTGGTTGTGTTTTGTATTGCTACAAAAACAATAAAAAGAGGAGCCTTACCCCCAAAGTTCTTATAATCTTAGTCAGAGGTTTTCAAACTCTGTGTCGCGGCTTGTAAGGACATGCTGCTAGCTGGCCACAAGATGCTTTGTTTACCTGTGCCTCCATTGGTACGGGTGATCATAGCACCCATTGGCTGTGGATTGCCGTTCCTGGCCAATGGGAGCTGTGCGAAGCAGTGTCCTGGTCCACAGCACTTCCCATAGCCCGCATTGGCCAGGAATGACAATCTGCAGCCAACAGGAGCTGCGATCGACTGAACCTGCAGAGGCGCAGGAAAACAAAGCGTCTTATGGCCAGCTAGTAATTTGTCCTTACAAGCTGTGACAGAGTTTGAAAACCCCTGATCTAAGTAATAAAGAAAGGGCACTGATTTCCTTCCTGATAGTTATGTTACTGGGGCTCTCAGAATTCATTTAATTTTAAGATATCTGCCATTGAAAATCCTAGTTACAGATTCTTTTTCTTTAAACATAATCATTTTTTGACATTGCCTGCTGAGAAAAGAATTCACGAGGAATAGCAGGCTAAACAAGAGAAAGAACACCTCCAATGCAACTATGTCAACATCCCCATTTTTTTGTGGGGGGGGGGGGTCAAATTAAAGTAAAATGGCATTTTGCCTGAGCGCAGTTATAGAAAAGGATGCTGCCTCTTATATGATTGAGGACTATGGGTGAAGTAATAAAATGTTGAAAAGGAATTTACTTTTCTTCATGAATGAATGAAAAAGACAAAGTTTACATAATTACCACACTGAACATTTTAGCTTTGTTGAAAATAGTTGAAGGAAACTTAAATATATAATATGTTATTTCAAAAGAATAATTGTAGCACTGTTATACTTTTGCACCAAAATGATCCAGTATCTAGTCTAATGCTTGTTAGAAACAAGACAGTTTAGAACACACAATTATATAATAGATAGTACTCTACTTTCATAGCATGATTATTCAGATAATGAATCACTCTCTACTGTAAATACAATTCATTGACCCAATTATATTGGGCCAGATTCTCAGCTTGTGTAAAGTTGTGCGATGCCACTGAAGTCAGTAGAAGCATGCCTGTTTATAGTAGTGTAGGACCCTGATAATTTGTTTGCCATAATAGAATATGCACTTTGTTATAGTTTCAGGTGTGTTTAATAGAAGTGCTGCTTTCCTTTTTGAAAGGTCACAAGCTTAATGAGTCACTGGAATAGAGAAAAAAATACACACTCTAAACAATGGGGTATCTTTGTTCAGAATGTTCCTGCAAAGTAGTAATCTGCATTTGATTAATAACCTTCTTTTCAAATGAGGTATGTATGGATGTTTCATAAATCTGAAACTTAGACCAATTTCTACTTTAGTATATTACTTCTCTTAAGTTCTGTGGAATCTTGATGGTCCAGTAGACTTTCACTGTAACTTTTTGACAATTTTATATTTGATCGAAAAATGCAGCAACATCATTGGTTTAGTGGTTGCTGTAAAAGGACTGTAGCATAATTTTTTACTTGTGATGTACATAAGAGCTCTGCTTAACTGTGTGACTTCACAAATGCAACAGGGATTTTGTAGATGGTTTTACCTTCCTCCCCTTGCGTAAAGGAGGAAGTCAGTACACTTACCTTTCGACTTCACAGATGAAAGCAGTAAATCAGTCAGAAGTGTTGGCAGTACTATGAAAATCTTAACTTTCTCACTGAAGTTATTGTACTTTTAATAAAATGCTAACATGGAAGTGAAATGACACAATATATTTTTTGTATCATTCACTATAATTTGTTGGCAGTATCCACCAGACATTAATGCATATTATCTGCAGAATGTTATAATAACTGAGGTGATTATTTAACTTCTGCATATAAATGGAATTAAATCAATTCCTTGCCACTTCCAGACAAAACAAACACATTGATTCCTCTTTCTTATAGCAGCCAAGATGTCAAAACAGACAAGTTGTTGAGGAAACGCATGCCTTTCTTTAATAGATGAGATGGAATTAAAATACCTGCAAATTACTGTCATGGGTATTCTGAATAGAAAAGCTGTGAGGCTTTCATTCCTGGAAGTATAACTTTTCATGGTGATATATCTGGGAAATTTAAGATAAAAACTGGCAGTGCCCAAGGAAGATATGCAGAGAGATAAGTGGTAAAATGCCAAGTTACTCTGTGATAGTTGTATGCTACAGAACTTCTGCAAGTTTATGCCATTTCTCTGTTCTTTAGGACATTGTCTTATATACATACTCAGTTTAACTGTCAGGGATCAGAAGAAATTTCAACTGTTTTTTTTTCTAGTATAAAATAGGTGTCCAGATACCATGGTGATGGGCACATTTTAAGTGCATGTATAAATATAATTGTTTATTATTATTGGTAAAGTTTTGCATATTTTCAGTATTGTATTGAATATAATGAAATATATAGTAATGCATATTTTCCATTTAAAAAGCACATGATACAGAATTCTTCAGTAGTTTTTATAAGATTAAGAAAATAAGGATGTATTTTCTATATCCTTAAATCTCACTGATGCTCTCTTAATATTTTTAGATCCTGGTTTGTTGAAACAGTGTTTCCTCTTTCAGACATTGTCACAGTGAATATAGAATTCCCTGACCATGCATTTACCTGTGGCTCTGACCTCATTAAAATTGTCAATTGCTGAAGAAATCTCATTAGTCCTAGCTTTGCTAACAACTAACTTAAGTCCTGCCTTCCATGTTAACTCAAAGCTCCTGTTGAATTCTATAGGAATTGTAGGTATTCAAATAATTCAGAATCAGGCTGATTTTAAGTGAACTAAATGATGAAAAACAAATTTTGTTGTTGTTCAGATTCTTCTGTGTTAAGATGGTATAAATCCAAAGTGATGCAACTGAAGCCAGTAGAGTTTATCTGGGTTGTTTTTGGGGAACTGAGAGCAGCACTTGCCCCTGCATCTGGCTACCCGATACACAAATCTGGATTTACTAATCTGTCATTGTTAATGAGACAAGGAAGCCACAATACAGTGAACCCCTTCCAAAATATTCAGTAATTATAAACAAAATAAGACTTTGATTTTTGGATGAAAGATTGATAGCTACACTTTGACTGGCCTATGAGGTGCTAGCCTTCTCCAAGATTAGCTATTATGAAAATTGATCATAATCTCACTGTGAAACATTATTTTACATCACTGCATATTTATTGATTTGAAAAGTAACATATTAAGCTTAAAATTACTATGGTAAGAAAAAGTGTCATAAAACCATCAGTAGCTTAGTTTTGTTGTGTTCTTATAAATGCTCTAAACAACAACAAAAAAGGCAAAAAAAAAAAGCTCAGTCAATAAATACACTTTAATTTTTAATAAGGTACTTATCTACTTTTGCTCCATCAGAAATACAGAAAGTTATGTTGCAGAATAGTACTTTGTTTTAAGTGGAAAAAATTACAAGGTCTTTCCACTGTGTTTGTTGAATCAAACAGAATAGTGATAGAAATGTAGCCGTGGTATATATGGTTGTGACTACTTTCTTCCACTATTTGATCTGAGGAAGTGGGTCTGGCCCACGAAAGCTCATCATCTAATAAACCATCTTGTTAGTCTTTAAAGTGCTACATTGTCCTGCATTTTGAATCAAACAGATATCGACCCACAAAAACCTCTTACCTTATAAAGTTTCTCAAGGACTTTTCCCATCAACACAGTCATAAAAAATTTGGAAAATGACTGATTAAGGAGCCATTAGCATTCAAATCAGACACATGTGCCCTGTCTTTACAGTCATATAAACAGTCAGTATCCATATAACTCTTTAACATGTCATGACACCACATTGCCATAATCCACACATGCAAAATATAAAGCATACTCTGAAAATGTAAACTTAGGTTCTGTACCTTCTAAGAGACCAATGTTGGTGAATATTTCCCTGAATGTACAAGTGTAAGGATCTGTGCACAAGTGTCCCTTTTCCAGATTGGGATCTAAGTTTATATAGTTTCAAAGAAAAGACACTTGTATTTGTGGCATTCTTAAAAAGTATAGGACTCTTTCTGTGCAACATATTTCAAATGCCTTTTTTAAAAAGAGATATTTCTATGAGAGCATCTATTGCCTCTTATGTTGATTGTTTTCTTTCATGAAATTTATTGTAAAAAGACTGAAAAAGTACCTTTACTTGTAGAGGCTGAATTGCTTGTTTGGAATGTAACTTTGCAAAGTCCACCTAAACAGCATGCTCCTGATTGGACTTCTGTAGTTACAATACTAATAGATTGTAGTGGGATTCAAAGAGCTACATGCAGTTAATACACAAATAATCAGAAGAGGAAAATAATGATCCTCTGGGGTACGCTAAGTGAACGCATATTGTTATGTCTAGAATAAAGCAGAATATGCTTATTGGTATTTGAAACCACAATGAGATCCTCAAAGGTCGTTATGTCCTAGATTTAACTGAGATTATCCTTATTCAATTTACATAGCAGACTAATATTGGTTATCTTTTTATATATTGCTGAACAAAAGTGTGGTGGCAGAACACAAAGTATAAATAGAAGGGAGAGTACTGTATTTTTATTTAATATCAGTGTGATGTCTGTAAAGTTTCTTCAAATTTGTGGCTCATTATATTACGTGGATTTCATTGTAGTATATGTGTAGAGAACTGATGCCAAGAACAAAGCAGAATTATTAGGATGAGGGGTATGTAGTATATGGAGTTTGCTTTGCTGTTGCTAAATTTTAGTTGTGTTTACTAAAGTAAACTACCATATTTTGATGTGCTCATCATCTGATGAAGAGGGTTTTACTCATGAAAGCTGCTGATACTATATATTTGTGTTAGTCTCTAAAGTGCCCCAGGACTTCTCATTGGTTTTATCATAGTTTTGCAATATCACGTAGTATGTCCATGACTTAAGCACTGCATATAATCATAATGTTTTTTCTTTTTGTTTCTGTTCCAGATTTCTTGGTGTTACACAGTTTTCTCCTACTCATGCCAGAAAAGCCTTTCCTTGCTTTGATGAGCCCATCTACAAAGCCACTTTCAAAATCAGCATCAAGCATCAAGCAACCTATTTATCTTTGTCCAATATGCCAGTGGAAACTTCTGTTTTCGAAGAAGATGGATGGGTTACAGATCACTTTTCGCAGACCCCTCTCATGTCCACATATTACCTAGCCTGGGCAGTGTGCAACTTTACATACCGGGAGACTACCACTAAGAATGGGGTTGTAGTAAGTATGTTTAATGCTACACCTTTGGGTTCTGCATTGGTTTTAGAAAACCCTTGCTTTTTGTAAGGAAACATGATGCCAGCAGGGCTTAGAATACTTGCTTGTTTAACATTTGTAAGGTTTCTTGTTTATTTCAGAGTAATGAGCCTTTGCTCAGTTTTTAGCTTTTCCTGATGTTTTGGCATGTCTGATACATTTCAGAATATGCTACCTCACCAGGACAAGTTTCCTGAGAAGACTTTAAGCCTGTAAGTACTTCACTGTATTTAGTCTTGATTTTTTTTCTGATGTTTTCTTTTTTAATATTTCTGGCCTTTTCAATTTAACAATTATAGGTTGAATCTCTGTAGTCTGGGACTCTCTGATCCAGCAACATCTGTGGTCCAGAAAGGACTAGAAAGCTCTACCAGCAGAGGTTCCTGGTGGCTCGGAGTGGAGCTGGCCAGCGGGGTTATTGGGGGCAGCTGTGCCTGTGGGGCACCAGAGCCTGCAACCGATGGGGTAGGGAAGTTGGCGGAGTGGGATGGGGCAGAGCTCATGAGGCAATGGTGCCTGCAGCTGGCGGGGCCACCAGGAACTCCAACAGGGTGGAAGAGCTGCCACAAGATAGGTGGGGCCGCTGGGAACTCCAGTGTGGCTGCCAGAGCTTGTGGGGTGGGGGCTTCCACAAGGCTGAGGGGAGGAGCCCAGGTGGCTAAGGAGAGGAGCCCAGTGGGGAGGCTGGTGCTCCCCCACCCAGACTTCCCCTAGTTCAGAGAAGTCCCTTGTCCGGGACCTGTCAGAACCTGAGGGAGCTGGACCAGGGAGGTCCAACCTGTATAAGGCAATGTACAGTAGAGTGTTCAATAATTCTGCTAAAGTTTCCAATGACCATCTTTCAATACTGATGCGTAGCTTGGTATTCTGTATGCTGGCACAAAGCTGTGGAAATGTACTTTCCTGTTTAGACCTTTTGCTTAGAAGTGTGACTTTTACCCATACTCCTCACTTTGGAGTCTTTGGTTAAAGGAAACAGTTTCCAGAGTTAAGATTTCTAGTTCTGACATGGTTGCATGAGGTGCTGTCTTTTACAAAAACTACTTTATTTATGTCAATTTTGTGTTTGTTTACAAATATAAAGTATGGAACTGTATCACAAGCCAAAATATACATTAGAAATTCTGTCAGCTAAAGAGATTTCAAAATGTTGTCAATTTAGATTTTCTATTGGATGTGCAGAAAAACTGCTCACTCTTGCCAAACTAATCTGCATACGAAACTAGATTCAGTGTTTAAAAGAAGAGGGCTTTGACTGCATGCCCATGCAAAGATTAAAGGGGAGCAAGAATTCCTTACATTCTTGCAGGAGCTATCCAGAGGTTGGCTCCTGGGATTTAAACACAAGTAGAGACCACATGCCTAATTATTCCATCTCCTTGGAGCAGGTGGTAAGGAATGGAAGTATGGACAAAGCCCTGGCTCCACCTAACTATTTGTTATACCGATAGCTAATGATAACACTTCATCTTCTTTTTTCTCTCTGAGAATAAGAGAGAAGAATGAGTCAGAGAAAGTTATCTGGGGCCACATGCCTCCTCCAGTGGATAAGCCTGGGGTGGGAAAATTAATCCTTGCTTAGTGCTGTGCTTAAAATCACAATCTAATCTCTAATGTTGACTGCTGCTGAGTAGTGACTGGATGGCTGAAATAGATTGATCACGAGTTATGGAACTGGTCATTTTTAGTTGCTGGTTTTATTCCAGCCTGTCTCATTAGTGACTGAAAATTATAATAATCTGAGGTATGTTCACTAGCCTAACCAAAATGAGTGGTTGGTGTCAGCCGAGTTCCTATTTCACAAATACTAACACAATAAAGGACTTGTATCCAAGTAGAACTTCAAGATCATCATTATGTCACAGTATGGCTACTGATGGCTTCTGCTTCAAGCTTAGAAAGAATCCAAGCATTTCTACTCCCAGAAACATGGTCCTCTGCTACTTGAGCTCTAAAGACTATTCTCTCTTAGTGCTCGCAGAATGAGAGTGTATTGCATATGCTAGAGTAGATTGCATATTCCATGTGGCAAATAGCGATGCTGCATGTGCTCATTAGTCAGAGCACTAGCGTAATATCCATTTCACAAAGCTGCTCTTTAATGATCTGGGGCTCACAGGGATTCATGTAAAAACTGGGCACCAGGTGTGCGAATGTTTCCTGTGCTTCTTGCATATCAACATCATAGTTGTCAGTGCAGCTGCACAGGTGCAGCATGGAATACAGAACATATGAAAAATATAGGCATCTTTCACTTAAACTGAAGGGAAAATCTCCTTTTGCTGTGGTAACATTTAGAGCTGTATAACCTCTATGCTGCAGCCACCTAGAGGAGACAAAATTACATACATTGACTAGGTTTTGTACTCTGTGGGTGGGAGACCACCCATACAGGTAGACAGACTTGACTTACTCCTTAATGTTCTCCTTGTTAGGCAAAGTAATGCCTGCCTGCCTGGGGTTAACAGGAGTTCAAATAAAACAGCTGTCAGTTTGTAATGAATCTGTGGCTTCTCAAAGCTTCACAATCATAAACTAAGATAGACTTTAGGTCCCTTTGATTCAACAGTACACACGTTTATGATACACACTCTTAAGTCAATCTGACAGTGTTGCTAAAGCCATCACAGTCGTTGGCACTCTTGCTGGCAGCCTAGCAGAGAGGACAAAGACTGAACAGCTACATATGCTGAGATACTTTTTCAGCCCGGAAAGTGGTCCCACCTGTTCCATGGTTTTTCTCTTTCTGTCATCATTTATACAGCACCCATCTTTGTGGTATTTTTGTGCTTAAGTAGTGAGCAGGCCTGAGGGATTCAGTTACACTGAATAATTCATTAAATACATTTAGATTCTTGTTCAGCTCAAGTTATATATGAGAGCTCGAGCACCTTCAGTTTATTTGTTATTCACACTTATGGAACAAATCTTTCTGCATTTTTACAGGGTGGAATGATTGCAAATATATGAGATTTGAGCTATATTATTTCTATGTGATTGCTTAGATAAGACGTGATACTATTTCTATGCCGCCAATTTAAAGAGTGCACAAGAACTTCCAGGGTGCATTTAACATTTGTTTATCCCAAACACTGGCACATGCAACTTTGAATGTTTCTCTTCACAACAATTTTGCTAGTAAAATAGTTGTTGAAATATTAATAGAATCTGTGCACAAAAGAGTGACCAAAGTAAATTCTCATACAAACATGAATCAAGGAAATTCACCTTGCACTAATGTTGAAGCACTCCCAGTTTGAGGAATCTTGATTCATCTGGTGCAACTTACAAAGTGTTTCTTTTGTGGATAAAATAAGAACTTCACTCCTCAGTCTGACATTTCATTGAACTCAATTTCAGTTTACAAAAAATTGGAAAAAAATTTGTGTCTATTGTGACTTGACAGCATTAAAATAAATAAGTTGCCTCTTCTATTCTTTTGGATCAGTCTTGCTGCACCGAAAACTTTGTGATTAGGATCAAGGGCAATTAAAACTCATTAAGGAATAAAAGTTACGTTAACAGCTGACTTAATACTAAAAAAGGGATTAATCATTAGTAGCTGAACGTGTCTCTCAAAGACTGACATTCCAATATCCAAATGCCTTTCAAGCCAGGTCAATGTGCCTATGGCCTGATAATGGATTCTATCACAGGTTTTAATTTAATATTAAAAAGAAATTAACTTTAGTAGCTAAAGTAGCCCATTCCTAAACAATAACCTGAAAATGGTTACTAATTATGAAATGTCACTTATTATATGCACATACTCATACATTTAGTCATAGTTGTACATTAGAAAGCCTAATATACATTTGAAAACAAGGAATCAAGAGAAGACTGGCTTTCAAGTGCTCCATTCAGTCTATGTGAGCAATTAGCATAAAAGCTCAGTCCACATGAGTTCTCCCTGACAAGAGTCCCTTCTAGAGCACATTCTTCAGAAACAAAGTCATCTCTTTGGGGATCCTAACGCTCTGATACAGTGATTACATGCTGTGAGCTTTGCAAGGAAAAATACAGGAACTGTAGAGTTACTTTACATCACACTGAAGCCCTTTCTCTTTTTCCGTGTGTGTGTGTGTGTGTGTGTGTGTGTGTGTGTGTGTGTGTGTGTGTATACGTATACACTCCAGAAAAATTCACTACAATAACCTTTAATCGTTACATTCTCCACATACCTTGTTACTGATTGAATTTTGTTAAATAATTACCCACTTCTGGGCAGCTGGAAATTAGAAGACATTTTCTAGCCAACCAGAGCTGTGAGGTTCTAGAAAAGCCTCCCAACTGGCACTGTGGGAGCCAACTACTTCATTACTTTTACTTAGTTACTGGACATACTTATGAGTAGGCATGTGTGGTAAGATTGCTTGTGATGATGCGAACAGGGCTGAAGAGCCCTGAGGATCTCTTCTGATTTATGTTTAATGTTCCTAAGAATCTTCTGCTTCAGGGTTTTAGCTAGTCAGGAAGGGATCCGAAATGACCACAGTTTGAGATGAGACACTAGGTGGGGTGAGCCAATGCTCTGAGGTGGCACTGAGCATTCTTTCTCTCAGGTGTTTGGCTGGCTAGATCTTGCTTACAAGCTCTGAGTCTAACTCATGGACATATATGGGGTTGGGAAGGAATTTTCCCCCAGGTCATATTTGCAGTGACCATTTTTGCCTTACTCTGCAGCATGGGCTGTGGTTCGCTTGCCAGGATTATCTCAATCAATACCCTTACACTGCAGGTGCCTTGGACACTGGTGCACCTGAGTCCCTCCTATTCTCTGCCAGTGTGAGGGACAATAATTCAGTCTCCTCAGGACTGTCATACCTTGATCTAATTTCAGTTTTGGGTTTAGTGTGCAGATGTTGGATGGTGTGGGTGGCCTGTGAAGCACAGGGTAGATGAGCTGGTGGGGCCTTTTGACCCTAAAGTCTCTGACTCTCTAACTATATTTCTCACAATAATAC